GGGAAGACTGCTTTATTCATTGAAGAAAGCCATGGGGAGGGGGCAGTATACAAGATGGGACACAACCTGCAGTAGTATGAATTCCCTCTAAAGCTGTCTTAGGGTGGGGAAACACAGGCTGAGTCAGAAGAAAGAAGATGCTTCCCCATAGAAGCTCTGCTTCTTCCTTAGCCATTTGTTTTCTTTTTGGTTCCAAGACTTTCTTTAATTGTTTACTTCTAGGTTCCAAGACTTACTGGGACAAAAATGATACAGAAGAATCAAGGGTTTTGTTTTGTTTGAGTGATGCACCATCCTCCTACCTGCCAATCCAGGAATGGAAGTTGCCCCTCCATTCTGCTTTCAATAGAATACCAATTGCAGTTCGAGCAGGAGTGTGACACATGGATGCCTTCCTCTTACACATGAAGGGTACTGTGTCAGGTATGTAAGGACAGACAGGTAGAACTGACACATATAAGAAGGATTAATATATTCAGGGGTTAGAGTCAGCTGTAAGACTCTGCTACAGATTGGTGTGACTGCCACGCATACAAACAATATGTAAAGAAATGCGAATCCGGTGTGTTGGAGTGGGGTGTGATGAAAGGTTCACACTCAAAAGGTGCAAGTCTTGCCACAGGAATTCTGAACTTCTGGATGCAATATTTGAACTCTTTGGCTGGTCAGCTTTGATGAGTAAGGACTGCCCCTAAGCAATCAAGGATCTACACAGAACAGAAAAGTGTGTATGCATCCTCTTTCAGACCACCATGTGTTAAACAAACAAGCCATTTCATCTGCCACCTACTCCCCACCCCCTTAATGTAAATACTTAACAAAAGCCACAGGTGCCATGCATTTTCCCAGAAAAGGTACACCTCTCCTCCTCTGACACATCACATGGGATGCCTCATTCTGTGTGGTACTTGCTGTGATACATACATGCCCACCTCATCGGGGAAAAGCAAGGAAAGCACCACTGTTTTCAGTGATATGTAAATGAAGTATACAGCTTTAACACTCAAATCCAATGAAGCAATTTAAATCAAAAAGGTGAGAGCAGGTAGGCTCATAATAATAGCACACAGCTTTTTTTCCCCTTCCAGAGGCAGCAACTGCTGACTCTAATTTGGGTGGGCACCATGCCAATGCAACATCACTAAAGTAGACACTTCCTAAGCCTAAGGCCTATTCAGAATATGAATGGGATCAAATTGGATCATCTTCTTCACACAGCTTTTATTGAGATATATGGATCTTGGTCCTCCTTTGCCTAGTTCCTCTCTCTCTCTCTCTCTCTCTCTCTTTCTCTCTCTCTCTCTCTCTCTCTCTCTCTCTCTCTCTCTCTCTCTCTCTCACACACACACACACACACACACACACACACACACACACACTAGAGAAACAAAGTAAAAGACAGCTCAGTCAGAAGAGATGAATGACACTGCTCTACTCTGTTATTAATTCATGCTTCTCTTCCCCCTCCCCTCAACAATCTTGTAATTTAAGGCAAAAGGTTAATGGGGAAAAACACCATCTTCAGGCCCCAAGTTCTGATCTGTAGTTTTACCTCTCAAAAGGATTTTGCCACAGAACAGTTTGGGTGGTTGTGAGGAAGAGAGGTAGAGGAAGTGATACGGGAGGAAGGATGAAGGGCAATTAGTTCTGTTTATTCATCTTTCTAGAACTGCAGAGCTGGAAGAGACCCTATGGATCATTGAGTCCTGCCCCTGTCAGGGAGGCACAGTGGGGAATTGAACTCCCAACCTAGATACCTAAAGCATCGAACTATCCAGCAGTTCCCAGTGAGAAAGCATGTTAGAGTACTGTGTGAACTTTGGTGTTCAGCCGAGGGACAAAACTGCATTGCACTGAAGAGAGAAAGAAAGAAAACAACCCTGTCTAACGTTCTAAAGGAACCTGGCAGAAAATCAGAGAAAGAAGATTTAAGAGTCAGTCTTGTCTCACTGGTCAGTTTTAATTCTTCAGGTAAACCACTAGTTCTGCAGCACTGCCTTTCTGCATCTGTTTGCAAATCCTGAAGTAAATCAGGAAGGGGGGGAAGCAAATCCTACTTGCAAGAGACCAGGATGGTAGCTGGAATGGCATGCCAATGCTGTCCCCCACCCCCCAAACATTTGCCCTTGTTGCTTTTTCTGGTAATACACAACTTACACATCAGAGCCATGCTTAGACAAAACACCCTCTATCTCCATCTGCCTGTTGTTAAGCACCTTGCTTCACAACCTCCTCCTCACTTCATACAGCTGATGACTCTCTTGCACAGAAAAATTCTTGCCAGGATGATAAACCAGCTACTCTACGCTGCCACACCATTGTTTTTAAAACAGAATTTTAAAAAGACAACAGCAATTTCAGATGTAAGTCATCTTTCTCCTCTCAACAAGCAATGTTTCTGTTATGCCTTTTCTGGGGCTGGGGGGAGGCGGGGAGGAGAGAGAGCAGCTTAAGAGAGCCTTCATATCATAAAGACCTGTGCTTTTAGCTACAGAAGAAGGCACCATAAAAGTTCCCATTGATCTCCCTGGGCTGCCATAGGTCACTCAACAGGTTAAACAGAGCTATTCTTGAGAACGGCCTTCTGTGGAAACCACAGGTAAACAGCTGTTCATTTGAAAAGAAAGTTACTGGGAATGCAACAAGTTTTCGTGAGATTCGACTTGTATATCCCTCAGGAAAAATCTTGACAAAACTTGAAGAGCAATGCTTTTTTCATTGCCTTCCCTCAACCAGGAAAAAGTCTGTTCTGTTTTTCTTGCTACAAGCTTTTTTTTTTTAAAGCAGGGATAGCAAAGAGGAACCAAACAACTTTTCCAACTGTTGACAAACTAACTGCAGTCAGGTAGTGTGTGAATTGCAAATAGCCACACACACACACACATTCGCAAGTGCCAAAGGGTTTGAAGCATCATTCCAACCCCCTCCCACACAAGTGTCTGAATTAAAGCCACCAATCTAAATGCTCCCTCCTGCCTGCAACTTTTTTTTTTAAACACTCAGCATTCTTAGCCACACAGATTTGGAATCCAGTTAATGTACTACTGGCTGAAAGCAGTTCAGACACATCTGCTGGTACAGTTATGTTAAACTGCTGTTTCCTCATGTGCCCCAAATCCCTCCTGCTCAGCAGAGTGCTAAAACCTTTCCAAGTTTCTCAAAACAATTACTCTAGGGGAAAGGGAGCTGGAGGAGACAGAAAGAGAGGGAAATAATAATAATAATAATAATCCATGCAAAATAGAAGGCCTTATGCCAGTCATGAATTCTCACTCAAGATTCTGGCTTCATTTCTTTGTTTTTTCCCCTCGTCCTTGTCTGAGTGCTCATTCCTTGGAGATCTAACATGCTGTAATTTTAGGATTTTTTTAAAAAAAAAAATAATGACTTTAATAACTGTCAAGAGTGAAGGAACTGTGTGTTCTTTGCACACAAAAACACACCTATTTTCTGAAGTTTCTCTCCCTTCCCCAGCAACTGGAGAAAATCAGGCAATAACTTTGTAGTAGTAATAATAACAACAGTAATAAATAGCTTAATGTTCCTTCCAGCAACCAGAACATGACCTTGCATGTCCTCACACAGAGAGAGATGCAATCCAGATATCCCAATAGCATGAAGGGACTTACGCCAACTTGGCCCATGTGGGCTCCAAACGCACACTCCTCAGTCAAATCCACCTTTGCTTTCCTCCCTTAATACTCTACAAGAGGCATCCCATCATAACTAACCACCAGTTATCTAGACTCCAATACCCTCAATGGAATGGGGCCCTTTGGCACAGAACAGGATCTCTCGGTTATATCTAGAGCGGTCTCCCGCCATACACACACACACACGCGCCCTCACCCCCGAGAACAGACACAACGCTTACTTTTTAAATATCAGTCTGCCATTTCTAGCCAATGCCAGTATCTCCATTCATAAAAGTCAAGGAGTGCCAGGTGGAGACTGGCCTCCGACCGCATCCAACCCGAGCTAACTCTCTGTGCTGTGTGCAGATTGTGCTTCTACGGACGATACATGAAACCATTCCTTCTGCATCGGCCCGCAGCCCGAGTGAGTCCCTACAGTGCAGGAATCCCACGGAAAGCTGAGCAAGCGGTTCTGCCGCGGCTCCTCGCCTAACCTGTAAAGGCTGCAGGAGGGCAACCCTCGCCATCCGCCGCCAACAGCGGCTCCTCATCTATCCCTAGGGTTCCCCCTAGCGCCCCAAGGCCGGTAGTGCAGAGCGGGGAAATCGGATTCTTTTTCGCCCCTTCCTTCCCTGCTCCGCAGCCCCGGAGCCCGCTGCAAACATCGAAGCGTGGGGGAAAAAGAAGGAAAAAAAGGGAAAAAGCAAAAAAAATATTTTTTTTAAGAAGGACGCAGGGGAGGGCGAGGGGAAGCAAGAAGGGAAGCTCCCGCTCCGTCCCGACGGCCACTTTTGCAGCCAGACGGCTCCGCGCGTTGCAGAGCCCTTGCGGGCAGGAGAGACAAGGGGGCGGCCTCGCCAAAAAGGTGCGCGGCCAAACAAGTGAAGTTTGGTCCGGGCAGAGCGCGGAAGAAGTTCGCCTCTCGGCGAGGACGCAACTTTGCCGCTGGTGGGAAGCAGACGCGAAGCCCCCCCCCCCACTCGCCCCGGAGGTAGCCTTTTCGCATTCTTCCTCACCCGCCCCGACAGACTTACGAGGAGCTTTCTGCCTAGCTCGCTCTCCCTTCCCTCTCCCCCCCTTTGCTGCTCCCCGATCTCTGTCCTTCGGTGAACTCAAGAGCCCGCGAAGCGGTAAAGGAGGAGAAGCGGGGGGGGGGGGAAATAGGGAGCAAGTCTAGAAAGGGACGCACACGGGCTGCAAACGGCGAGCGGTTCCCTCTTCTTCAAAGAGTTGTTATGATGATGCTTTGCTCCTGCTGCTGCACGGAGTGCCCCTGCTCGGCGCTGCCCTGTCTCCGCCTGCTTTAGAGCCGGGGAGAGAGAGAGAGAGAGCTAAGTCCGGGATGGTTTGTTTTTTCCCCCTTACCTTTGAACTGCCAGGGGTGCTCTCAACTTCTTGCGTGCAGATCTGGAGCAGAGCTGAGTGGGCGCCGCATTCATCCATGTGGCTCTTCGGGTCTCTTGACATGGTGCTTCTGCCTGGCTCGACTTCGGGTTGGTATTGGGCGGAACAAGTCCCTTTATTTTATTTTTTTTTAATATATAGGCATAAGATCTTCTGTCTGGACGTGTGTTTCCTTTTTCTTCAAGTGGCGTGGCTTGGCTTCCTCGCTGCCCCTGGATCTTGGCTCCTCTGGTTTCCCCACAGAGGCACGGACCGGTGGCAAGGGTCGGTTCTCCCCACTAGCCGCTGTAGTTTCAATGAACTGCTCCACAACTGAGGAGACAGACGGAGAGCGCTCACTGTCCCTTCTTTTATACACCCATCCAATGGGCATGCTCATTTCAACCACCAAGGTAACTCAGCCAATAAAATCGCAGAGGTTATCTAACCCCTCTCTCTCTCCCCCTTCTTAACCTCCTCCCTTTTTTTAAGCTCTCCTGAGACTCCCATTTGGAGGGGGGAGAAGAAAAGTTTCATGGGTTTTGGCTATTGCTTCATGCGGAAATCTCCCCTCTCCCATCATCATCACCACCACCACCTCCTCCATCAACAAGACACACACATAGAAAAGGAACAGGGGGTATAGGGGAGGCAGGAGGCATAGAAGAGATTTCTCTCTCTCTCTCTCTAGATATAGGGGTTTGGTGGCTTTTCAAGGGTGGCTGAAATGGACATTAATTTTTTTTACAGTCTCTTTTATTTCTTGAACTAATTCAATGGTATTCCAGCACCTTGGGCTACCAAATGTTTCACAATCATTTGCTTTTGATCTTCCTGATTGAATTAATCCAGCTTTTAATGTAATCAAGGCTCAGGTCAAGGAGAAGCAGAGGGAAGCCTCTTCGGTCATGCCAGTCAAGATCTGGCTTATCATAGCTATAGTTTGCCTATCAGGAATGCAGATAGAAGGTAAATAGGGGATTAAACTAGGCCATGATGTCATCCAGGGTCTGCAAATTAGGTTAACTTTAAATTATATATTTATGTGTAACTAAATGCATCACGCTGCACTTTGGAAGTCAGAGGAGGCAATAGCCCCTCCCCTTCCCCAAGAGAGCCTCACCCTGGAAAGGTAGAGACTGGAGCAAAGAGATGGTGTGAGAGAGACCAGCCTCTCCATAAGCACCCCTGATCTGCTATCTGAGGAAAGGTAGACCAAGTGGAGTCCCTTAGGCTACCACCATCACCACAAACTGCTCAAGTCAGTAGCACTCAAAGTGCTGCTTTCCTCTCTAGGACAATTCCCAGAGAACTCGCTGACTGCATATCACAGACACACCTCGCTCCATGCTACACTGTCAAAGTTCATAAAGACCTTAAAGATGAAACAAAAGCAGCCAGAACAGAGCCAACCAGGACACCTTTTCAAATCAAGATTACTCAGAGAACAGAAGGATGCAATGGATCGCAAAAATAAATAAATAAATAAAAAGCCCAGGGATTCTCAGAAGGGGACCTGGGGAGGCTCTCTACTCACTCTCCCTGGGTGATCAGTCACAGCCCCACAGGACCCTGATGAGTCACTGGCAGCAAATGAAGCAAGTTGGATAGCTCAGTGGTTTAGGCACAGCCCCAGATTAACCATTAGGCAAAATAAGCTCGTGCTTAGGACATCAACAAGGGAAGGAGACACCACAGAGGTTTTTTTTTTTCAGTGCCAGATACGGTGCAAAAGGTGCGAGGTCTTTAACAAACCACATCCATCCATCCAAATCTCTCGGCTCCCTCCCTCCCTCCCTCCCTCAAAAGCCCCAAGAAAACCACCTCCCTATCTAAAGCAATTGAGTATGAACCAGGAAAAACTAAAAAGTATAAAAACTCACCAAGCGAGAAAGCTCATGTTTTGAGTGAAATGATCAATCAATCATCACTTTGATGTTTTTTTTTTAATTCTGTATTTTTGAGGTTGGGTGGGGATAAGGATAAAAAGAGCTGCTGGTTTTTTAGACCCATGGCATCTGCACTATACAGGGGTACCTTGCTTTACGAAAGCTTTGGTTTACAGAATTTTCAATTTACGAACCGAAATCCATAGAAAATAATGCCTCGGTTTACGTTCGTTTCTTTCTTTCTTTCTTTCTTTCTTTCTTTCTTTCTTTCTTTCTTTCTTTCTTTCTTTCTTTCTTTCTTTCTTTCTTTCTTTCTTTCTTTCTCACTGTACGAAAGGGTTTCCCCAGGATGCATCGTGCCTGGAGGTTTCTAGTGCCACCCCCATTCCTAGCACAATCTGCGTATCGGTTTACAAAATTTCCACATGATGTAACGTCCTGGAGGACACATTAATATCGTAAACAAATGTACGCTTGTACGTGCAAGCGAAAGAAATAACAGTCACTGTTAAAAATGCTCCAAAGAGATTTTATGCTGTTGTTTGAGCTTTTCAGTTTACAGATTCTGACAAAATCTGACTATATTAATCAACACATGAAAGTGCAAGATTTGGCTGGAAGCTGGTAATTTGATTGTATAGATTATTTTGCATACAGCATGTCATTCTTTTTTGCCACATGCTAAACAATAAAATTATTGTATTTTCATTTATATAGTGTGCATGACATATAGGTTTTTTTCAAGCCATGGGACATACCGAGTGTTACATTTTTAGGGGGCACCATAATCTTTTCAGTGCTTAAGGCTTCCTGCCCTGTTTAGGCATCTGGCTGTGGAGCCAGAAGTTGGGAGTTCAATTCCTCACTGTACCTCCTTGATATGGGCTGGACTCAGTGATCCATAGGATCCCTCCTAGCTTTGCAGTTCTCAGATGATGGCGAGGAAGTTGTGTTCATGCAAGTTACAACAAGGGTTCAGAGCAAGGGCCCAAAACATTTTGTTGCTTGAGGCTGACCAGCAAGTGCTCTCCCTGCTTTCCCTGTCTTAGATACCTGCCTGTAGGATTCCAAGAACTCTGTTCTTTAAAAATAACATCTCCAAAATCTGACTTGAGCCCAGGTTAGTTTGTGGCACAACCCCCCCTCTCTCTGGGAATAAAACTATAATAACAATAAATCACATACCCACATCCTTTCATGATATCGAAATGAGACATCTGAGGTTGTTGCCTCATCCTGCCTAATGGTGCAGCCATCTGTGAACTCGGAGGGTATTTATTTATATATTTATCTATTAACCAACTATTTAAAACATGCAAGTATTTATTTATTGCCTCTCAGTGCAGAAAGGCCCCAGACTGATATACATTAACAGAAAGATAAAAATGTTTGTTATGAACATACTTTTAAAAAAACCACACTTTTTAAGTCAAAGTTGTTTAAAAATAAATCAACAGCAACTCAAAAAGCTGGTTTTAAAACCAATTTTACACACCAAAGACTATATGAATCAATATACGTAATCCAGAAGTTAATCATGGACGGAACCTGCCTAATTTCCTTTGAGTTCCACCATTGGATGCTGCTGGTACAGAGAAGCACCTGCCTTGTCCCCTTTCAGTATGTTTGAAACACATATCAGAACCTCTGTTGAAGATTTCAGGTTCAAGGCAGGAGGTTATGAGAGGAGGCCAAGTTTCTGAAATGCCACCCACACTAAAGATTTTATGGGTAAAAATAAAAAAAAAATTTAAAAATCAACACCTTTAATTGAGCTTGAAAGCAGACTGGAAGCCAGTGCAGTTGGTTCAGCATGGATGATACATCAGTCTCCAAAGCAGATACCAGACAGCATCCTGGCTGCTGCAGTTTGCATTAGCTGTAGCTTTCAAGCCCTTTTCAAGGGCAGCCCCATGTACAGTGCATTACAGTAGTCTAACTGGGAGCCAATTAAAGTGTGAATTATTGTGGGCAAAGCTGAATACAGATATGTCTAGGAGAGACCTGGAAACGCAATGAGATTTGTTTCTGAGCAAACAGGCATTGGATGGCATTTTTAATCACAGAGGTATAACCATACTTGTCTATATATTGTTGAACCAAGAAAGTTTGAGAGATATTCTAGCTGTCAGCTGGCTACACTCAGTCCATGTTCCACCACTCAGAAGGCAGTAAATTGCTTTCTTAGCCTGCAGAGAATGGTATGGAAGGAAGGTTATTTCTAATTTAACCTTTTTTTCTACAATGACAAAGGGCTGCCTACATTAGTTATCTTTACAGTTATATAGGAGTACCTCTAAAAAAAAAAGGTTTGTCCATGATGAGTAGATTTGTCTCTTTGAAATCCACTGTTTAGATCAAAAAAAGATTAGTTATTCTGATTTCCCATAAAGACCTGAACACAGAGAATGTTAAATGTGTTTTTAACAGATATAATGTCCATCATTTGGATTGTCCAGGACAAAGTAGAAAACTTTGAATTATTAACCAACTTTATTATTGATGCAAACTTGTAGTGCCTATAAAACTTCAGTTCTTCAGTTAGCAGGGCTGAGTAAAGCGCCGTTAATATACAGTCTATATATATCGGATGTAGCTTCATCTTTGAAATCTATTGTAAATTAATCCATGGCATGGTTCCATGTGACTGTCATGCTTTTAGTCATTCATAACTTAATTAACATAATTTTCCTCAAATTTGGCTTTCCATTGGGGGAGGGGGTGGGAGAGATAGACCAGGATCCTTATCTTTACCTTGAGAGCTCTAGAAGGCTCCTTCACATGTTGCATTCACCTGTAAACAAGTTCTTCCTTATAAAGCTCTTGATCCTAACCAGGATTTAGTCACAAGCACTTTGATCAACCTTTGAGGTTCTTTGACCTGTTTATTCTCAGCATGAATAGCATCCTTCTTTTTGACGTTCCAAGTACTTAATCTCTGTGTGAATGCAATCTAAATTTTGTAGCGATATTGTACATTATAAATAGTTACAGATCAAGCAGACGGTGTTGGAGAAATACGCACACAAAGCAAAATCCATAGAGCATCGCAAAACATGTCTACGCTGTGGTGTAAACACTCACCTGTTTGTAACTTTCATTGTCTCCTGGATCAGTAACTAAGACAACTGATAGTCAGAAAGTAGGTGAGAGGGAACAGATTCTCTAGAGTATCACAAATATTTTGAATTGCGCCTCCCATGATCCCTTACTATTGGCCAGGCTGGATGAGGCCTAGTGGACTTAAAATTCAAAACATCTAAGCCAAAAGACTATCTGTTTTGACCGTGCATGGTCCTTCCCCCCCTGCCCTGTCCCCCCCCCCCGGCATTTGCAGCAGGGCGTATGTGCTACTCCTTTGCAGGTATGGAAGCCCGTTGCTCAGAACTGAGCGAGCCCTGGCTTGTGTAATTACAAGCTGGAGATCAAACAGCACATGCAGTCACTCTGTCCACAGAGTCATTG